CACATCTCTCCATTTGAGAATCCCTTACTCAGCTGAAGATTGTCTAAATCCTTCAATTATCACCACTCTTCCAGACTGAGCAAACCTAATTCCATTAATCTTTTCCCATAAATCTTTTTTTCCTAATACCATTCCCATTGCTTTCCACTAATTTCCCTCACAATTTATCAGTATCTTTCAAAAATACAATGTCCAAACCAGTATACAGCAGAGTCCTCTTCAGTAACAGGAATAGAGAAAAATTATCAAAGTGCTGTATGTATCTCCTGCTAACACATCCCAGAAAAAGAATGGCAGCAGTATTACATAGTCAATCTATATTTACCATAGATTACACTTATATTAACTGTATATTACAGTTAATCTACATTATGGTAAGTATCATTATTCTCTGTGTGCTTTTCAGGATCAGTGTGTATTAGTTCCCACTTCTTATCTGTGCAAGTCCACACTTAACACTTCCAGACACTGAAATTCAATTGCAAAATTTCAAACCATGTAGCTGGCTTATCAGGACTATTCTGAATTATGACATTGTTCTGCAGAAGAATGAAATAATGTTTCTAAACTTGGATTACCACAAATTTTAGAAGCATTCTCCCTATTCAATCATTAAAAATATACAGGGACTGAGGCCAGGAGAGATTGCTCACATGAAGGAATCAATTTGAAAAGCTTTCAAAAAGAAGATTTGCCTTATCTGAAGGACAGGAACAGTCAGATCATCACCTCTCAACATCTAAGGAATACCACCTACTACAATGCCAACAGAAACTCTCATGTCACTGCTTGCCACATTAGAGATTGCCTAGAATTTGAGATTGTCCAAGATTTGACATGGACACCTGACAAGTTCACACAGCACCATTAAAATCCTACAGCCATAGGCCACATCAAGTAGCCATTGTGTGAGGAGCTACTAGGAACACCATTAGCAGGTAAAATCCAAGATTAAAACAGGATTTTTTTTTTTTTTATATTTTTCCTTCTTTCTTTCCAAGTAACAGCAGGGATTGCTGCTGAACAGACTGCAGCCTTCAGGATGATCTTGGGCACTCCTTGGTGCTACAACTGAAAAATGGCAATGGGATATAAAGAGCTTGTTTCCCTAACTGGGGGCTCTACCTTTCTTGTCAAAGCACAGCAAGAACACCTTACTAATGTAAAGAAGCTGATGTGTGGGAACTCAGGTGTAAAACAATGGGCAAAGGTTCGATTTTTTATGCTGCAGCTTTTATTTTACAACTGGGCCTTTCATTTCAAATCTGCAAAGCCCCTTCCTCTTGAGAACAGTCCACATCTGTGTCTTCCCTCACATCACCACGTTGATCTCTTGGACTTCTCTCTGCAAACATACACACAGAAAAATCAGACCTTCTTTTCCCCAGAATCCCATTTCTCATAGAATAAAAGTGAATAGACTGTTTCAGTTGGAAGGAACCTACAATTAATTATCTAATCCAAACTCAGGGCTGACCAAGTTATTAAGGGCACTGTCCATTTCTCAAACACTGACAGGCTTTGTGGATCAACCACCTCCCTATGAAGCCCAGTGTTTAACCATGCTCTAGTAAAGAAATGCTTCCTAACGTCCAGTTTAAACCTTCCCTGGCACAGGTTTGAACCATTTCCATTGCCACACGTTCTGCTGAACCCCATGCCAATGGCCCCAGCCCATCAGTCCAGCCTGTCCAGAGCCCTCTGCAGAGCCTTCCTGGCCCCCAGCAGATCAGCACTCCCACCCAGCTTGGTGTTGTCAGTGAACTGATTGAGGGTGCTCACTCCTCTCATCCAGACCATCAGTAAAGTTATTAAAAAGGACTGGGCCCAGTACTGAGCCCCTGGGAACACCACTGGGACTGGACTGCAACTGGACTTGAGTCCATTCTCCACCACTGGTTATCCTCACCCACCCAGCCAGTTCTTTTACACAGGGAAAACTAAATGGGATCTTGGTGCTTCATAAATTTTCCTCCACCAGTCCACTTCACTTCCTGTCTCATCACAAGATTGTTTTCATGCTCCCCACATTTCCCTCCATGCCTTTCCCATCCTCTTAGATTGCCTCTGTCTTCTTTTACATCCAGCTGATGCAGCAGAAGCAGCCATTATCACAAGCAATGCTTTAAATAAATATGGTTACATAAAGAGGTACTAACCTCATACTAGAGGTCAGTTAGGTAATGTGGTGTGTATCTCCTTTCCCTCAGGTGTGCACTGTCACAGCCAGTGACCACTTTGCAAACCTGCACAAGTGCCATTGGTACAAGTGACAGGTGACAGTATCTTACATGAGGAGCAACATCACACAGTTCCAATACCATTTCCTCTTCAAAATTCCAGTCCTCTTTTGCAACCAACTTTCAGGTTTTGCTAATCCTCAAAATCAGACATTTTCCCACAGACTCCTTTGTATCAGGGTCTGGCCTCAGAGAATCAAAGCCATGTGCTGCACCAGGCCTTCTAGGGTAAGACAGATTTTGTTGCAGCAAACCAACTGGTGGCACTACCATGATTACCATGACTGGCAGTCTCTCTCACAGGAAGCATCCTTACACCTCCCCTGGGCACAGAAGGGAAGGTGGCTCATAATTCCTTGGCCAAATGAACTCAAGAGAAATTCAGAATGAAGGTCCTTTCAAGGATTCAAGGCCACTTTTGAACTCCTTTTTTTCACATTTTCTTCAACTTTTAAAGTGCTTTTAACTGTCAGTATGATGCCACCATTTAACTTTGTGAGACCAGTTTAACCTCCCACATTCCCATTATGAAGGGGATGGAATTCCAGGATGCAAATGCTCAGGAAAAGTAAATAATGGGTTAAATGGATGATACTCCAAAGGCTCACCTCCTGAACACTGAATAGCTCTGCACCTGCTCATAATTCTTGACCTTCCAAAGACCTAAAATATAGGCCTTTCCTGATATTTATGATGCCACTTATGATCAGCAAGGAAAATAATTACTGAGTCTCCAAATGCTTTGAACAGTGTAATTTCTAATCTCTTTTTGCAACGCCAAAAAGAGACAGCAAACTGTCCTTCAGCAGGGTTTATAAGCTGCTAAATCTTGTAGTACTTGAGGGACCTTAATCCCCAAGGAGACAGACTTACTTGTTCTGCATCTTAACGTCACATACAGCATTTACCCCCCAGCCTGTTTTCAAAAGGCATTCCACTGCTTTTATTCTAAGTGGGTGAGATTCTGATTCCAGTTGTTTTAATTTAGTAAAGCTGAGGCACCAGACACCTTTCAACCTTTCAGTTTGCATTATGCATGGCACTGGACCACAATTCCCACCCTATTGAACAGTAGCACCCATACTGGAGGGTGAAAGGAAAATATCCATAGTGGTTATTTGCATTATCTATTGCAGCATAATACTAAACAGAACCTGTCCCACTGTCTTTGTGATTGCTTACATGTGAGTGAAGAACTGCAAAATTGCAGATTTCCAGATTGATTTAAGCCCCATACAAATTAAAAGACAGCTCCCAGCCTGCTATGATGGCAAGAATTTCACTGGAGTCCTGCATGGATTGATCATATAACTGGTCACTGTTCATCTAAGTAATTTTCAATTCTAGATTGTGATTCATAAAAATGTTGAATTGTATGTAGATTTTTTTCTCTAGAAGACCAATGGGAAACACTGCAGGGGCTGGCAAGGCAGAATGATATTTGCTTTTTCCCAGCTCACAGCTATATTACACATTTGCCCCATGTTTTAGCATCACTTTCATTGAAATGTTACTTTTTAAATAATTGATTATTCAGAAGCAGTAACTCTCTGCAACAGCATATGGGTTTGGGACAGTTCTCTTACAAGGGGAAGTTCATTAGGTACAGAGCTGACTAGCAAAAAGCAATTTGCACAGAAGAAAAAGTGTCATATACCACAGTAGATCTTTGAAAAACACTTGCCTACCAAATACAATCTCTCAGTATTAACATTGTGAGGAGCTGGACAGAGTGACAAACATACAGCAGCTTTCTTCATCTGCTTAGTACAGACAAAATTTCAACACAAAATGAGTTTGAGTTATCTAAATTGAAGTCCGTAGAGAAAGTCATAGAAGACAAAATCATTGAAACTTATCTAGAAGAGATTAACATTTATAGCCAATTTATCATTCACAGACAGAAGGTTACAGAAAACTTCTTTTTTTTTTTTTTTAATTTGTAATTGACTGTAACAAACCAGTTAAGCTGATGAATTCCAGATACAAGTTCTCCCGCCACTAATAGTTTTACTAAGGAATAAGCTAATGTTCAATATTAATTAAAACACAAACCAAATTTAGAAACTACAGGGAGGAACAAAGAGCATTGCTATGACTCTGCATGCACCCATATTATGCTACAGGATGAATGCAGTTTTATTCCCCAATTTTTCAAGAGTTATGGTAGAATTAGGAAAATAAATATAAAAAGATAATCAAAGTCATGGACTGGCTCCTGCACAAAGAGCATCTAAATAAGTTATGACTTCTTATCCAGCAAAAGGAGGCACTTGGATAAAAGATACAACAGAAGCCTAATAAATTTACAGATGACAAGGAGGTGAGCACAGAAAGATTTTTAATCACTTCTTCTACTTCAAGAATGAGGCAGTTTCAAATACTCCTTGGCAATAGGTTGAAAGCAAGCAGAAGGGAACAGAGTTTCACAAATCCCATAGGAAAGCTCTGAACACACGACTTACAGGATGCTGTGCTTTCACAAGGTACTTTTCTAGCTTGAATAGTTCTGAAGATTAAGCTCCTCTTTGTCCCAGGACAGACATATAGAGAGCTGTACCTATATCCACCAACTACTTCCAGATTCTAACTTGGCATTTTATTCTTCTTTCCCTCTGTCAGTGATAAAGTTTTTCTCCACACCTGAACACACTTTCTGTCATACAGTACCTTGCTACTGCACAAAACATAAGGTAACTGTAAAGCAATTAAACCTATCCACCAAGCAAAAACCAAGACCTGATGGCAGTCCTCACTTACCCAGATGCTCAGGAGTGTCATATAACTGTTCACACAAGTAGTAGTCATCTGGATTCAGGTAGGGCAGTTGCTTCAGCAAGCTCTGCTTGGGAATGAGATACAAGACTTCTGCAATATCCCCATCCTCAATTATTGACATCCTTCTGACTGAATTTTGAAATTTCACTTTTTCCAGCACCAGTTCTTCACCTGAGCCACACAGCTTCCCAAAGCTTTTCAAGATGGGGAAAGATGGCATTTCTATTCAGAAGAAGCTGGTAAAGCAAAACCTGTAGTGCACGCAGTCAGTCTACTACTCACGGCACACTGCCCTTTCCAATCCTTCTCTTTTTCTCTTATCCAGGAAAGGAGATTAAGGAAGATATATTTTTAGTGATTATCTTCAAGAGATTAGAACAGTATGTTTGATCAGGTGATTGCCGTCTAAAACTATTGTAATCAGTTGAAACTCATCCCTGCGAATGCAAAAATCAGAAACAAAACCAAAAAGTGTCTGAAAATCAGATTAATATTCAGGACAAGAGAAAGAACATAACTGAGTTACATAAGCGGATTAGTTTAAAATCAAAAAACCTTGCTATGTCAGAAATCTTATTACAGAAGAATCATCATCATCATCGTAAGCTACAAATGCACATCTGTGCATTTAATCTAGCACGGCCCTCTTCCATGCCAGGTCTGTCCATGTGCCATGGAGAAAAGGCTGTAGCAAAGGTAGAGCATGTTGGTCCTCCTTTTTTAGGAATGCACAAGCACTGGCTGGCACTACTTCATAAGCAGATTCTTCGGAGAAATCCTTTCTGCAGCTTTCACTGCCCATTGCAAACAAAAGCACTTAAGCTTTCCCCTAACCATTAAGGATTGGTTTGCTTCTGCTCTTCCTCTCCACCTTCCTGTGCAGCTGACAGCAGAGGCTTTGCAGACACTGTGCCAGCCTCTCCTGCTTCACCTACAAGAAGTATTTACATTAATCCAATTCCAGTGACTTGCTAATCTAATCATCTAATGAATATTTCTCCCTGGGTAAAGGCAGAGTTAATCATCAACAGGGCACTGGAAAGTCACAGGAAATTCCAAAGTGAAAGAGGAAAAAAAAAACCCAAACCAACAACATTCATCATCTGTAAGAGAAAGTTACAGGTAGACCCCAGACCTGGACATGCTCAGAGGCAACTTCAGACTCTACTCTCGTGCACAGAGACAACTGTGCAACCGGGGTCTGGCCAGACTTTCCAATTCCCTTAACATAGAGAAGTTAGCTGCAGCTGCAAAATGACCTGGTGTAATCATTGCACTGTTTCCAGTAAGGCTTTTTCTAAATTAGAAGGTGACAAAAACTCGGCCAATAGGCTTACTGAGCACAGTGAGAAACTGTCACTTAATTCTCCCTCAAAACTCAGAGCTCAAGTACTAACTCCAGATAGGGATAGGCTTAGAAGAGAAGACTGCCTTATTTCCTGTTTCAAAGAGAAAATACCATCTCACAAATCCAGACTTTGATCATCTATTATTACACATATCCTATGAGGTCAATTACTTTATATTTTTCAAGTAGTATAACTTCTTTATTATCTTGAAAACAAGTGTCCAATCACAACTTCCCTTAAACAGCCATACTCCTGGATTTTCTAATCAATGGAGAACACAGTAGGACAAGCCAGAATAAATCTGTAGTAATTTTAATGGGGTGATGCTAACTTACATTTGAGGAAGAGCTGGCTCAATAAATATAGCAACTCCAGTTCTCCCTAAGAGTATCTGGTATCAGATCAGAGACCTCAGCAAATGGTGTGTTTTAAGCATTCCTCCTAGGAAATGAAGCTTTGCAGCAATTTTTCATTCTCTCTCAGATTTCTCAACCTACTGACCTGCACACCACAGCCCCTCAGTGGAAGAGGCAGCTCAGAAAATCCAAAAGCTTCTACAAGTGAGGGTGGATCTCCATTCAGAGCTTAAAGCAGAGGGATGACTCACAGGAGAGGCTGGATGAGTCAACACAAGGATCTCTCAGTCTGACAGTGTCATTTGTTGCTGGATAATCGGGGAAGGATGTTGACATCTGACAACAGCAGTGCCAACCAGCCAGCCCCATGACACGTCAAGGTGGACTTTGCTCTTTGAGGTGAGGCCAATACACATTGCCCAGACATTAACTCTGCTGCAGAAGTCAATCCTCAGAGAGCAGAAAGGTGAGCCCTGCAGAAACTGTTCAACTGTGGCAACATTTGCTAAAGCTTGGCTGCCTAATACCCAGAAGAAAAGTCAGTCCTTACACTGGTTTAAGGCTGACTCCCCATTTTCTGCTGTGTCCATGCTGATTCCAACCTCCAGCTCTGTTCACCAAGACATTCATTACAGCATTAGCTCCTGCAGTAAGAACTAAAGCAGTATGACCTGTCACCACAGTAGCAGTCAGCCTGTGACCACTGTAGAAGAGTCTGATGATCTCTCCAACAGTGCAGCACAATCCAGTGTCCTTCCACCACCAAAACACATGGGACTGCTGCAGGACGATGGATCAGGATTTAGTGACCCTAACATGTCACTGCAGAAACATCCTGCTTAATTAAAAATAAGATCTTCCTTCCCCTGAGATAGACTTCTCTAATGCTGCCTCTTTCCAGCTCTGGCTATTGCTGTCACTGTCTGAGAACTGCACCTTCAAAGACCCCATGCCAGCTGCTGCTTAATAACACAAAGCGATATGATTTTTGGATAGTTCATTTTTTTTAAAGTAGTGTTTGTCTTCAAAAGCCTTAATCGTGTAATATATGTAATGTATAATATAAATATATTTTCAATATGTAATATAAAGGGACAAGCAGTAGAAATAAGCAAAACAAGACCAGGAAGCATCACACTGGCTTCCAAGTCAGATAAAGGACTATTTGTAGCACATCCTTGTGTCCAAGGCAAAGGACAAGGCCTGAGACAATCCTTTACAACAGTTACTAAACACTGGGATTTAGCCTCAGTCTGAACCAAAAAGACAATGGCAATCTCCTACACTTAAGTTAAGACACAATTAAGGGGAAAAGATTGATTTCTTACGTTCTTGATGAAAAGGAAATAAAATGGCAGGAATCACAGGGGCACAACCCTGTCCTTATGTTTTGTGAAAGAAAGTCTCAAGAATCCAGGGCACTCAACTCAGAACTGGCATTGAGGAAACGTCCTCAGGATCTGCCAAGAAACAAAACCTGTTTAAATCACTGCCAATTCAAAGCCATGTCTAATCCAAGTAGTCAGTGCTGGGATCTCCAGCCTTCACAGAGCACAGTGTGAGGTATGGGCACTTTCCAGCCTGACAGTTTTCACAGAGGGCTGGCTGGATAAGAGAACAGGAATTATGCAGAATAGCTACTTTAAATATTTTATCTCATTTCCAACTTTATAAATATTTTATTTATAAATATTTCCAGCCGTCTGAAGACCATTTCTCAGTCAATCCCCTCTGAATTCACCACACCAATTGGCTGCCTGGATGATAAAAATACATGCATGTTTCATATGCAACCAGGAATAGAAGCATCTTTACTAATACTCCAAGAATAGAAGTAACAAAAAAATTTGACTGCAATCCACATTTAAATTAAAGAACAGAATAGCAAGCAGTGAATAATAGTAAAAACCAGACACCAAGGGCAAAATACATAGAAGAGGAAATATCCCTCCATGTTTCAGAGAAACGCAGAAATGTGTAGTGCACTAATGCTGTCTTAATTTCTTCTGCCATCAGAGTTAAAATTCTTGCAAATGCATTTCAGTGTGACTTTAGGCTTGCATTGAAAGCAACAAACAGACCAATCAGAAATCCAAGAAACTGAAGTCAGTCACACTAGTTCAGCAAAACCTAGCTGCAAAAAATTATCAAAACAAAAATACACGAAACAAGGTAAAACAAAACTAAATTTTCCTTTTCCCTCATCATACCACTTCAGAAGATAGATAGCCCCAAATAATGTTTCATGCATCTGTCCAAGGCAACAGGATTATCAGGATTATCTTCTCCATACAAGAATTCTCAAAGATATTAGGAACAAGGAGAGGAAAAAAGGGCTTTCATCTAAATGAAAAATGGTAAGCATCCTATCTACTTTTACCATGAAATATAGTTATCAAAGCAATAAAATAACTAAACCAGCAAATGACAGCAAAAAAGGAAAAAAAAATTCAACATTCAAATACATATGCAAAAAAAAGGAGCAAAACTTTGGTTGTGGGAGTTATTCCCCACATTCAGCTTTTTCACTTTTGACACCCACTATTTACTTATTCAATACTACAGGCTGATGTACAAACATTCAGCTATTTACTGTAAACTTGAGGAAACACTTTGTCCACATAATGAAAACGAAAAAAATCCACATGCACATCTTAATTTCTTTACCTAAGTGTCCAAAACAGGCAGTCATCTTCTGGGCATACTGACAGAAACCCTTCACCCCACAGGGCTCCTCACCCAGGACCTGCTCGCTCATGGCTTCAGCAGGAGCTGCCTCTCTCTGCAAAGTCAACCAACTGCTGCTTGTTTAAGACTCATAAGAGAACAGATCTTCCTCTTCCAATTTATCTCCATTAATAATTCAGGTACTACATAAAATTTGCTGAGCTTTAAATACCGGTAGTGCAAAGCTATTTTGTGGCTTTTGAAGTAATCATGTTTTAGTCTTTAAAAAGTAACTCAGCTATTATATTCTAATAGTTTACAGAAATTATTTTCAAATGGAAACAAAATCCATTCCCTTGCTGCATAAGAGGAAATTTTGTGGGGATTATGCTCAGATCAGAGAGATATTTAAATGTTCCCCTAGCTTAAACCCAGAAACAGAATTACCACCACTACTAAAATGTGTTCTTATGTACTCATTACTGTTTTCACCAATGACATGGACAGTGGGATCAAGTGAAATAGGTTGCTCAGAGAGGTGGTGGATGTTCCATGCCTAGAAACATTCAAGGCCAGGTTGGATCAGGCTCTGAGCAACCTGATCTAGTGGAAGATGTCCCTGCTCATTGCAGAAGGGTTTGACTAGAGGGCCATTAATGGTTCCCCCCAACCCAAACCTAACCCACAGAATTCTATGATTCCATGACACTCCTGCAAGCAGGCATGTCCACTGCTACAAGAACACCACAAGTTCATCACATATTACCATGTCCCAATTCCCAATGCATCTTCCAGGGACTCAAAACCCAACAGAGCCCAGGTACAAACACCACTGTGTTTCTGTGTTTCCAGGTAACTTCCAGCACACTACATTTCAGAAGAACTAAGGCACCACAGCCAGGAGCAACAGGAACAGGGTATTTTCTCAGCTCGCTCCCTGGAGCATAAGGCCCATCTAATCTTGTTCTTATCCTGGCTGAGAAGAAAACACACAAGAGCTGACTCAGCAGTCCTGCTGCCAGACAGTTGCAGTGGCCATACCTACCTGTCTGCTCTGCTCATCTA